AAAAAACCATTGATTTTTTTAGTATGTCGGTATTTCAGTGCACGGGACACGAATCCCATAAGGTGCCTATATTATCGATACAAATCGATAATATATCAATAGTAGATAATGTTCATATAAAACATTTGTAAGTAATTTCAATCAACGCTCGTCGTGTGGCGCTTATCAATTACATTATTTAATTCTTTATAACAATTATACAATCATGATCAAAGTTCTTATATAAAATTATTTAAACTTGAAATAAAAAGTTGATTATTATAGGAGAATATCATAATTTAATTACTGATTCCGATACATTTTTATGTATTACAAAATTTAAATATAGAATGACGGAAGGTAGAGTGATAGCAATAGCTATTAAATGATGGATGCATTAAAAATTGTAATATTCTTGAGAATGTCTAATGTAAAGTTTCGTTAAAAATAGTGTAATTTTGTAGAATTTTGTTTATGAAGTAAATAAATAATACGTAAAACAACTCATTGTAATCACACAGTCTAAAAGAGTCAAAGGTGGGAGAAGAGGAAAATAGAAAGGGGGGAGGGGAGGAGGACATGAAGGAGGAAAAGAGAAAGAAAGAAAAGGGAGAATGGTGGAAGCTGGCTGAATATTTTTACCCAAGCCTGTTAACTACACTCTGTTATTTTATCTCACGTACGCAGTTTTTCCACCACTACTATGCCGTTACGCGGGAATATAAGTTTTAAGGCGTGTTTTGATAGCGTCAGGGTGTGTCAGCCGGGGCTTCCTACCTAATGGATCACTTCTTCGTTTATTCGTTCATACTTTTTGAAGTATATGACCCCATGATATCGCGAACACTCTGATAATTTTAGTTATATAGTAATTATTTTCAGATTTTATTGCAAACACATAACGAAAGAACAAAAGTTGTTCAAAAAGTAAAATATAATTCTCAATTGTCCTCGTTTAGTTGATTATAAAATTTAAAGATCCATAGTTTATTTTAATGCACTAAATTGTTTGCAAAATTTGTAATTTCACGAATCTTTCATTGGTAAATTTTTTGTCTTTGGTAATGAAAAGCTGTTTCTTCAAAGAGTTACTTCAGGCTTCTAAAGTATATATATAATTTTTCACCTATGTTTTTCAAATATGTTTTGTAAAGATCGCAAACGTATCTTTTGTAAATAACAATAAAAAATAGAAATCTGTTTTATTAACAAATTTTCAATTGATTTTCCTTAATTCTCCTTGATATCCTATTTAATATCTTTTGATAGAAATCTGCAATAAAGATATATTTTTTAAACAATGTTATTACTATTAAAATATAATTATCATAAAATCTTGATTAATTTATTGATATACTTAATGTACGTCATACCTGTGCAATTGCAAGTGACGAATATTCTCGATGACAGTGCTCTATCATCGCAGTTACAGCTCTATCACCTAAAAGGTGTGAAAAGGAAAGGATAAAAGTGATTCATCACAAACATATATTTACGTGAAACAATATTTTCTTTGGCTTTAAGAAGGTGGTGACAGAGTATTCCTCTCTTTCTCTCCTTCTATTTCGATGCATTTCAGTACAGAAAATACGGATGATACGTACGTGAAGACATTGTCAATCGTCGACTTTGCATTTTATGACATACGTACGTTCAAATATCAAATTGATATACCTAATTTTTATTCGTTATTTTGTACTAAAAGGAAATGTGCACAATAAAGGAAAGACAGTAGATTTTCATCTTCTCAAGAAACTGTATTAGACATTTAAACGTAATATTTATGTTGCAAATAATAATTGTACTACTTACAACTACTTCAAACCACTTTCATTCTTTGCAAATCACGATTGAAGATAACAATATCCACGCCGATAATGTAGCCAATGTTCCTTCCATAAATAAATAAGCCGAATTAAATGATTTGACCAACCTGAGAAACGATTTAGAAATAAACATAAAGAAGGAGAGGCAAAGATGGAATGATACTTACGCTCAAAAGGAGGATGAAATGAATTGATTTGTTAAATAACAAACCATGTTGTGTTAGGTTTGCTACGATAAACAAATAACGTCACGGACTATGGCTAGTGTACAACTTGGTTCATTCAGTTTCTTTTACTACGCCAATTCATTCATTCATACACTTCGTAGGTATAATCAAAAATATCAGAGTAATCAAATACTCATTAGCAACAAACAGAAAATCACGCATCTTGATCGTATTTAAAAAATTCTTCTTTAGGTTCCCATTCCCTCCGCTCTTCAATTTCAATTCTTCGAGAAGGAAATTAATTCCTGTCCATGAAATTGTTATCGGTAATGATCCCTTCCTTTGGGATCACGCTGCTGCGTAAATGTGATTAATCAGAACGGGCTTCCAGAAATCTGTCTCGCTTGGCAAGAGTATAAGGGAGAGCTGCAAGAACGGACTTTGTTATTACAGATGCCACTCGTTCAAGATCCTGGGGTATATTTCAAACACAAAGAAGAAGCCTACTTTCAATGCGGAAGATTGACGCCTAATTTTCAAGATCGTGAGTTCATATTTTTGTGGTAAAAAGGAAGGAAGGAAGGAATTGCACGAGTGAAAATTTATTTTCCAGCTTCACCGATTTTCGAAGCTTTGATCGACACGCTGTGATAGTGAGTCTTACACTTACGTATAAAAGAGGTAAAACCCGACTAAATCAA